TCTGGTAGTGGTTATTATTTCCTGAAGGACCAGTCCGGTGGAGGTCCTCCACGTAGCCAGAAGAGGAGGAGCTCGAAAGGTGTGGAGAGGGAAGGTCGTAGAAGCTGGTGGGTGACTTCTTTTTAGAGGGAGAACTTGCCTCGTACTTGGACTTGATTGCCTTCATGCTGTACTTGACGCCCGGCTTGATGTTGCTGTACTTTGAGCTGATGTCGTACGGGTCCACTTTGCCGTAACTGGAGCTAGAGCTGCTTCCGCTATTTCCACCTGTAATGGTGATCAGCGAATTGCCACCTCCACTGTGATCATTTTCATTGTAGTCGCCGCCCATCAGTCGACCAGGTCGAAGGCCGTAACTCTCCTCCTGCTCAGCTAGCGACTTTGAAGATATTAAGCTGATGCTCGGTCGGTGGTTGGCGCTTAATGAGGAGGAGGAGGAGGAGGAGGTAGCGGAGTAGGCGTTTGAAGATGTGGGTCGCAAGGAAATGGCAGTGGGTGGGGCGGAAATAGCCGCTCGACTGCTCGAGCTGGAGAGCGAGTGGGAAGCGGTTTCAGGGAGGTGGTTGCTATTGCTGTACAGTGACTGAAGAGAGCGACTGTTGCTGCTGCTGCCTTCATTTCTTGTGCTGTGTCCGTTGTTGTTGCTAGCTCCCGGCTTGACAATGTCCTCCTCGGTAAGGAAGAAGGCCTTCGGGTCGCCGTTGCGCTTGTTCAGGTAGAAGTAGTTGGGCGATGAGTCACAGGGAATGGAGTCCTGGTGGCGGGTGCACGTGAAGGACATCTGATTGAAGACGGTGCCATTGACGCAGGAGAAGGTGTGCTTCACAAAGGACTGGTGGGAGTTTAGGAGTGGGGAAATGGAAAGTAAAATAGAAAAGAAAGGGAAAAGAAGAGACAATGATTAGAAAGCAGTTGTATGCATCAAAACGGGGCGCGCTGGGGCATTAGCATTAATTGACTCTGCTGCTGCACTGTCCCCTCGGTAATTGACATCTACACTGCCATTGGCAATTAGTGTTCGTGGTCACCACCATCACCATCACGGCCATCACCACTTTATTCTTCCGCTTCTATCTCCATCTCCTTCTTCACCTTCTGCCTTTTTTTCTCGGCCACACGCTGACCGCGCGCTCATTTGTGATCTCTAATTGCCTCCGACTGACTGACTGAACGGATGCTCACCAACTGTGATGTGATGTGATGGCACACGTAGCAAACATACGCACATACTATCCTTTTCTTCAGTTTTTAGCTGTCTCTGTTTGTAACTGTCCCCTGTTCTCAACTTTCACCCCGTGTCCACCACTTCTACTAATTAGCATCTTCTTCTTCTTCATCT